CAATCAGGATAACTCATACTCGCCGACTTCAATCTCGATGCAATATATGTAGAAGGCAGCAATTGCAAGCAGGGGTTAGCCTCCAGCACCAGCAACAGCTTCGCTAGCTTAATTGGCAGCACGACTCGAATTTGCTCGGCTTCTTGAAACTAGTACCCAGAGGGCACTGCACAGGCACAGCAGGGCTTAGAAGTGATGTACCATTTCAATCTAATCATATACCTATCCCAAAGACTGCCACCCCAGGTCTGTTTCTCAGATCTAGATATATAGAGTGCGTGTACGAGACTTTGAGACATTGGAGGAAATTATAGTGCCCTATATATACATATATATATATATATATATATATTGCATATTTATTCATACCTAGCCAGTCGTAATTCTACGAACTTGCAAGGGCCCAATTACTTCTATAACAAGCCTTGTGGGGTATGTGGTGTACATGGGTTTATCATGATCAGGTATATGTGCTGACCCTGGATGGATCGGAGGTCCGTCGACACCTCAATACATTATTGGGCTTACCTGCTCGAGGGCATTCCGTATATCGAGAGAGACTTTTCAAACCTTAGACCCCAAACTTTAAACCCTATAGCTATATAATCCAGAATCCCTTAATTAGAGACCCTATATTGAACCCTAGACTTTGCACAGCCAGCTCAAAAGCATAAGCCCTCAACCCTCAGCCTGAAGCCGTCAAGCACCGAACAAGAACACTCCACTTTGCACTGCGTGCGACACTCAAAGCCCAGAGCACATTGTGGGCCGAAGGTGGTATTGGGAGTGGGGGCCGGAAGGCTGGTATATCTTAGGGGGGTTGCATAGAATGTGTATGCATATGCATAATAACCCCTTACCCAAGTAATCTGACCTTGCTTATATTCTTATATAGGGAAGTCATGTTCTCAGCCTGACTAAGTCAACTGCGTAATAATCCCGAGGAAGTATCCCACTGCTTCTATGCAACTACCATGACTATCGTAGACCGATCTACGTACTGTGGAACCTATCTATATATAACAATCATGTACAGGTACAAGGTCCCCTTGCAATATGTACTCAGGTGTGCACCAGTACATGACTTGGTCCAGGATCTACCATATGATGCGCCCTATCCACTCCCAGAAGCAGCCGCAAAGCTTGAAAGCATCAGTGCTAGAGATTCGCACAAAGGCCGACTACAAGGAGTGGCTGGCGTAACGTGTGGGGCCCAGCCCTGCCTCAGGGGCCGGTGCTTCTGAAATGACATGACTGGATCTGGAGTTGGGGACTTCACACGACATCTCAAGGGATTTGGCAGGGTTCGGTTGTATATATATATATATATGCTATGATATTTTAATCATATGGTAGTAGACATTATCATATATATATATATACGTATATCAGTATTGTTCAAGTAATCTATAATAACTTATAATTATACGTGTTCTTGCTTACATATAGATATATGTGTACATATGTATAAACAATATATATATATATATATATGTAGAAACATATATATATATATGTATTATATACATGTACGTATGTACATGTCTGCATTATATTGCTTACGAGAATCGACTCGTCGTTTGGTTGCTTCTGCTAGTTGTCTCCCATATTCTTTAGTCCGAAACCACCCTGTTTTACACTCGAAGGTTACGAGAAACCAAGATCGGGGTAGATGTTGGAGCTAGTACCATATCATACGCTCGACATCAGGATCTCAGAGGCCCTGAGCATGGGTTTCAACCCGAAAAGGAAAGTGTACTAAACATCCATGCCAGGCTGTGCACTTTTTGAAGCCCATCCCACTCTCAACTCTATGCTTTGTGTGTATATATATATATACATATTATAGTCACATACATATGTTTTTTACATGTAGACTCTAGTATAATTATACATAGATAGAGTTATGGATGCATCTATATCCTATATACATATTTCATATGTTATTATTAGATGGAGTATATTAAATTATTGAGCAAGACATTCAAATGTCTCACATTCGCACACTCCACAGTCAACTACAATTTGATTGTCCCCATATACTCTCATCAAATCCTGGCTAGAACCATGCATGATAGCCCCAGTCCAGAAGCCAGCTTTGTAGGTGCGAAGTTGCCACACTGATCAACGGCTCAGCTGCAGCACACTTGTGTTATCACATTCAGTACATAACAATACGGCATCAGGCCACTGGGTTCTGGGGTTAATCATAACAACTGTAGCTATGCTCAGGCCAGGGAGGTCATGATCAGGGATACGGATGCACAAGCTACTGATTGCACAAGCATGACACAGATGTTCAAATTACACACATGCCCCCTGTAAAGCATCAAATCTGTGCTGCTGAAATCGGGCCCACCTGAGGCAAGTGCACTGTCTGCACAAAGCCGAATGCTCAGCTCGATCGAGGTCCAGTGGGTGCAGTTGGTAGTCGATATATACGCAGACACATGAGCAACCGTCTCGGTCTATGCAGAGAATAAGCTATGTTAGGGTGGCAAGCCCATTTCTAGAAATTAGGAACCCCAACACTGCTAACACAACAAGCATAGTAGATTACAATTAGATTATGTTGGAAACACCGCTGCCGCCTTCCGGAAAGAATTAGACGGGGTTGTCCATATTATATATATGGAACTAGTCTTACTTACTAATTACATCAGTTGCAATAAACTCTCACATAGGGATGCTTTCATGACCGTGAGGATAAGACTATAATACTGCTATTCTGGGGTATATGGCGACAGTACATAGGCAAGCATATATCATTACAGATCGGATTATGTTGATACTATGTATAGGGTTTGTTTATAAGTGCGGTACACATGAGCAGAGAAGCCCAGTAGATGCCCCCACACAGACCCACCGCGCAGCTGCTGCTAAGACAACAACTGAATCAGGGAAGACTCAGCCCTTGCATCCCCATAGTGCAGACCCGACTTAAAAGGCCATGGGATCCCGAAGCAACATGAGACCCTGCACTGGTGTTCACACTATCACGATCAGAGCTTCACTGTCTAATGCAGTACTGAATCCTCCTGAGGCCGTGCGATATCTGCACCCAGGCGAACCGAAGTTGAGGACTGGCCCGAACAGGGTTAAGATCGGATATTGTTATGTACGAAACTAGCTATAGCTAACTTAAGCACACGTCGTAATACCACACCAACCAGTCGCTATAATTAACACTACACAGAGAAATCATGAACTTTCCCCAGTGTCGACTTCGCTTCCGGATGCTGAAATGGAATGTTATAAAGACGACAAAAATCCTCGAAAATCGTCTGGGACCCGACTAGTGACATCGGGAGGTCGTTACGGGGCCTGTACCAACCCTCAGCAATAGCCTCCTCCAAAAACATCTTGATGGCATCCAGGCCTGCATGGCCCCAGTCTCCACCGGGATCCTGCAACGGGTTATTGCGAGGGCGGGATTGTCTGCTATACTATTGCTTGTACGTGTACTACATGTAGCAAAACTCCTGGTACCCGAATTGCAACAGGGCCGAGAGGTCCGGCATATCCGGATCGGTTGCCTCTAGTTCCCAGGCTTTTAAATTTAGGCTTTATGATTATAAGGTTTAGGGCGCAGGTGTACATGAATTCATTTGGGCCCCCACCAGCCAGTCCCCGTGGAGGGCACAAACCCGCTTCCCAAAGTCCGCGGGATAGGCACTCGAGGCTGTCATGTCTTTGCCACCCGACCTCATTCTACAATGGAAGATTGATACTAATAACGGACTGGATGAGCTTATTACTTAAATGTTATCGGACATGTTGCAACAATTGAGGGCACTACACTTTGCGAACTCCGTCGACTATAGTCACCTTGACCATCTCGTGGTCGCTGAGTTTCTTCCGTTTGCTGATGTTCTCTTTCGTTGCAGGAGTGAGCTTCTGGTACAGCTCCTTGAGCCACGGCCTTGGATGTGCAACCCAAGCCTTTATCTTAGGGTTTGGGATTTAGGGTTTAAGGTTTAGGGGTTTAGGGGTTTAGGGTTTAGGGTTTAGGCTTTATATAGCTTTATAATTTAGGTTTAGGGTACAGCTGCCAGGCACCTATCATTAATTGCATCTTTGAATTGATACTTATAATAATATAGCTATAGGTTTGATGAATAATCGATTTCTGGATATCGAAACTGGTTGGGGAAGTTGAAGCCAGGTGTTTGCTGTCACAAGTTCAAAAGATTTTCCTAGGTGGGATCGGAGCATGGCTCCTGCAGGTTGTTGGTTAATCATGTACGAGTGGGGGGTTGATGTTTAAGATGTTTCAAGTATAAGCTTTTGACTTACATGTGCACACATGACATGGATTCTGAGGGTCCAAGTACCTAATAATCATATACTCTCCCAAATTATTAACCTCGAACACTACTATCCGCAACCAAAGTACCTTATTATTGGGTCCTTTGGACCCTTTAATCTCTATATATGTGTAATAACCAGACCTCTCTACACTTACGAAGCGAGTCTGATGGAATAACATGTGACTGTGCTTTCATAAATGCATACTATATATTGATCATGTGTGAACATGCATGCATGCATGCATGCATGCACGCATGATACATGTGTGTGCGATTGTTTTGCAAGAACTACCTGCTTGCTTTCGAATATAGGCTAGACTATCATGATCGACACATGGCATGATTCGAAAGGTTGCTCCATTCTAGGGACTCTTTAACCATGACATGAGTATGTTCCTAGAAGGCTTCCATTACACACACCATGGACACACACAGTACACACATCTCTGCATAGACATGTGAATGTTAAGTGCTTTAAGAACATGCACATGCACCATGGTCACATGTAGTATAATTAGTTAATGACATTCCCTGCCATGTATATAGAGAGAGAGAGAGAGACAAACACAAGTAACACACAATCGGACTAGCTATAATGATTACTCTCAGCCGGGGGTCACATTGCCCAGACCCAGCTCTGGCTTTTCGCATGCGTGGCCATAGGTGCCCATCCACCTGAGAAGATAGTTCTTAGCACAGTTTATTATTATAATTATGGGGGATACCACTACAACTGCTGAGATACAACAATTGAGGACACCACCAGAAAACTGATGCATGACGGAACAGAGGCAGGCCCATCATCTTCTCCAAGTAAGGAAACATAGGTACAGTGGAACGGGCAGGGTTTTCCAGGGCCCAACAGGTTGACCGGATCAAGGCCACGAGGAACAGCAGGCATGCCCTAGAGGCGAGCAGATTTCCAGTAATCACAAATGGGTGGTTGGCGCCCATGGGATTATCCAATGTCCTCTTGTGAGAGCCCTTTGACATAAATGCAAATGAATTGCATGGGAGACCTGCAAAGAGAAGTCCCCCTGGCTTCAACCGCAGCACCAGAGCCAAGGCCCGCATAAACCCTTGGTTGTTGCCAAGGTCCTCCATGACTGGGTCTCTTCCACGGTCGTAGCCTTGCCTGGGCTTGGGCTTGGTTCCTGTTCCAGGGTTCATTGGCATACCATGACAGCAGGATCGAAGCTGTAATAATTGCACATTGGCAACATGTTGCAAGTGTAGACATCCATCCTGCATTATAAGTGAATATTATTCTGCGGCCAATATGCGCACGGGCACCCCTTTTCCTGAAGGCATGGACAATGGAGGCCACCCCGCAAAACATTTCCACGGCATCCAGGTCCTGAGCAACCGAGGCCCCATTCTTGAACATCCGTACTTGCGTGATTCACACACATATGAACAGTGCTGCCCAAGGGTCCCTCTGTTTATAATGCTTGTGTTCCCCCAGGTAATCCGTCATGTAGTCGATCAGGTGAATCCTTATTATTGCCAAGGCTACAAACCATTGAAGTTCGTGTGCTGTTCATGTGATGAGTCATAGATCATGATCATTGCAAACTAGGCACACAATGGCCGGGACACCAAGACACAGCATTGCTGCACACTGCAGCTTGGAAACCTCCACGCTCTTGCGAACTCGCAAGTGTGAGAGCTTCGGCATGGCGACCCTGATCACTCAATACATGCAGTTGCCATCGACAGTGACCTGTCCCTGAAAGACTAAGACTAAGTCTGTCGTGTGTCTGCAATGTTCCGATCAATCGGTAGCGTGTCTACGTACATGTAGGCACCTGCAGGCCCCTGATCCATCAAGACTGCTGCATTTGGATTGGCATGTTCAGTGCATCGCACAGCATGAATCAAAGCTGCAGTGGCAATGTACATGTCACACGCACTTGAAAGCCACAGGATGCACTCTGAAAGACCCGAGACAAAGTATAACCGAAAATCAAACATGAACTGCAAACCCACCAATGCAAGGGGAGGAAGCACCTCGACGAGTTCGACCATCGGAGCTCGCGCCGGGTGACCCATGCTGCTGAGCTGTACCCGCACCTGCGGAAAGTAAAGTGAAGGTATATTGTGCAATATTCTAGATACGACGTACACATGCGGCTCAACAGACCAGCTAGCGGATGCAGCTCGAGTTGTTTTTTTGCTCTCTGATTTCGAGGAAGCCGTGTGCACGTATATGGGCTTCGCCCCTGCACTGCTGCACATGCCGAAAGCAAGCCTGCCTTGATAAATTTAGATTCTACTCGGATGTTTTAGCTGCACCGGAGACTCGGAGAGGGGTCTGATAGGTTCGATTTTGCATTCAGGGGGAGTCGATGCTCTCGGGAATTTAGTGGGCATAGGATATATGGACTATGGAGGATCCGGAGCCTGCTGTACTTCATTCATCCAAGCTGCTTCCATGTATATTATGATGCACAGCTATAGCTACAGCATGCCGCAAGTGCCGGAATCACACGGGCAACGCATGAATTGAAAAGCACCGAAAAGCACCCACACCGATAGCTGCACAGCTCAGGCATGCAAGGACTTGTAGGTACATAGGTTGTAACAGAATATATATAGATCATAGAATCTGCAGGGGCCATGATCATGAAGAATATATTATATATGTGTATATATGCTGCTACTCGGTATACATGTGTGCACGTACCTGTGCGGATGCTTTCATGATGTTGAAGGAGAATCTGAAACTCACGGCTCAGGCTGCATCATCAGCGCTGGTGGGCAGCTGCCTCGATGTCAGCAGCTGCCTCGGCATGTGTATTCATGATTCTAATTAGATAATTCATGTTTATATCTGAGGCACTTGCAACCGCATAGCTGAGGGTGAGGCAAGGTCTAGGGGCATTATTAAATAATTATCCAACCAGTCGCAGTGTATATTTGTTATATTATTAATTTTGAACCTAGACACCATCTTCGTCCACCCGGCCAAATACTGGGCATGCTTCCACCTTGGATAGCTTGTTTTGAGATTGGTCCTACAAGAGTCGTACAGCGAACATGTACATGTGATCATCCCGATACAGCTGCTACCAAGACACGCCGCGGGCAGGCCAGCATCAAACGCATGCCACGGCACCGTTGCACCACCTTTACCATCCATGCTGATCGGCCCTGTCGGCTTCGCCACAAGAACCTGCTTCACATAGAAAGAGGAGGCAACCAAGATCACTCCTATGGAGCTGGTCCCAGCTTTGGTGCCATTGGCACCACGACGCACAACCTTGCCCTCCGGACCCTGGTGGTACACGGTGTAGCTCCTCATGACTGAACCATTATTATATCTTGAATTGCTGGAGTAGGCAGTACATGTTCCGATGATAAACACATCACTTCATTATGAAGTTGAGGCTCTGCCTGTGCAGATTCTCCGCTGCGGGGATGAGAAGGCCGGGCAGTTCTGCCTCATGAGCCCTTAGACTCTCCAAGACCTTGTGTGCCTCGTTGAGCTTCTTGCTTTTCTTCCTCGGGGTGAGCACTCGTCGTTTCGCTGATGCTGGCGGGTCCTTGGGTGGCTTGGAGTTCTTGGCCTTGGCAGCGGCTGGGGGGGAAGCACACGGGCCTCCTCCTTTAAGCAGCTTGTTGACACGCTTGCGCTTCGGCTGTCCTTTCCCGGCCTTGCGATCATGATCATCATCGCCTTTGGGCTCCTTAGGCGTGCCCTCCTCCGGGATCTCGCCCTTGTTCGCCTTCTTGAGCTTGCGTTTCTTCACACGCCGGTCCTCCACTGCTGCAGCAGCCTCGAATCACACACATTGGATCCAGTCTCAACAGTTGTATGTCGCATCTTTGATTTTGTAGATTCGAAGCCCCTAATTATACTCAAGCTAGACATCCGTACATTGCACCTCTCTGATCGACGTGCGAACATCATCTTGAGCTGACGAGACGAAGTCAAAGCGCTCGTGTTCACTTGATTTCTCATGTGCCCATTCAGGCGGAGTCGGATCTCTGAAGGCATGTAGAATCAATGGCTTTCGATCCTGATTTGTACCGAATGATGTCACCCTCATGCCACTGCCACTGCAAATCGAAATCCAGTTTAGGCTAGAGTCCTTGGTGGCAAACGATGCTATGTCTGGCTCAGGGGCATCTGCAGCACGATCATGATCTGCCGTCGGCAGCGGAGGCTCAGCTTGCACTGGATCCACTGCTGGGGCATCCTTTCCAGCCGAGGGTTCCTCGATGAACTTATAAGCAAGTCACTCTCAAGTAGAAAAAAAAGACAGGAGTAATTAAAGCAACAGCAGTATAATAGCAAGAGCCAGTACATAATTAATAATAATTAATAGAGAATCGAATGAAGCTTATTATAAATACATATATAAGGAGAATTAAATAGCTAATTAAATCCTTCGAAACATTGACTCAAACCAACGCATCGTCTTAGAAGCACCGAGCCGCCATTCGAGGGATTGATTGGGGTACAAAAATATATATATGGTGATAAGCACAACTGCCCTGTCATTTAATATAGAACCCAAATCACCATGACCCCTTCACCAATTAATGTAATAATAGGCCCTGATCAGTAATTTTATAATATTCTAATGCCCCATTATTATTCTCTAGCAATCACATCAGCAGCCTATGCAGCCAGTACCTCTTACCCTGAAATCCATATTCTCACCCCTCGACAACACATGTATATGACTTCCAACCAGGAGACCACATCACCCACATGATCAGGGGTCCCCATGAGGATGTGTGCACCGCGATGCTTGATACCCCTTGGAGACAACATCTCCGCCAAGTGATCCGCATCCTGCAAGGAAGAATGCTCCTGGACCATCTCGGCCTCCTCGTCGCGCTGAGCCGGTAGCTCCTGGCGTATGTGCTAAAAAAATCTGCGGCAGCTGCGCTGGGTCTATTTAAGTCGAGCTGCATTCTCGGATCTGTTCGCACACTTCAAGGCATGCATGCGCCGGAGGGTGTCCACCTTCTCACTCCTCCGGATCCCAGGGGGACATCTCTCATCAGGTTACACTTTATAGTATAATATATAGCAGAATTGTTCCGAATTACTTACGTTCGTAGACCGGGATATAATTATGCAGTGTCAGCTCGAGGGAATCGGGCGAATTCGAAGGTGACATTTATGGGACAGTCGGTTTTCCATTATAATTTAATTATTAGTTATCTCGGTGATTCTATACTCGATATGATGATATCATGCATTATTTTACAAATATTTGGTATCTAATATATAGATATATGTATACACATTATTATTTTATGTTTAAACTAGACTTTAGAAATAGATCTAGATTATAACACTCCCAATTGCAATATCCGGATCCCTAGATTTTCTTGTGTGTCCTTTTAGTATGGGGATGCTCATGTGACTAGTCAAAATTACTGCCTATAGATATGCAATGCTTAAGGGAGCACCTTCATACATGTACCTTGTCCAATAACTTATATATTTAGACGTGCACAGTCATCCACATGTGCACACACGTGCACACTGCTGTCCATGAATGTGCATGTGTATACATGTACTGACACACCCACACACACACACCTATATAAATATATACATGTATATATTATCAGAATTAATTATACATGTATACGGATGTGCACAGGCTCATTCCTGTATACATGTGCATGCATGCTACTCCTATTCAAATCACTGGAATCAAACACCCCTCCACATTAATCCTGGCACCATCAGACTTCCGAAGGATCTTGTTGAGGTGCGTCAGCATGCTGCGGAAGCGGGCAGCCTCCACCCGGCCCCATTCCTCGGTGGATTTAAAGACTTCTTTATTTGGAGCCGTACAGCTTGTGTTCTACGGCCGCTATATATAAACTATTATAAAATTATATTATTGTATTTGGAATACATGTACAACTACTCAGATCAGCTGTCTATAATTTACCAAAAATAACAGTTCTATACGATACAAGTTCTATACGAATACCATACAAGTGTCTCTAATCTTTCCTTTCCCGCCGCGCTGATGAAATATGCACTCGCCGTGCAAATTCAGATTTACGCTTAGAAGCAGGAACGCCGTTTCGAAATCCCCCAGCGGCGCTATCTCTGGTGCGAGCTCGAGAATGTATTCCTTGACCAATACATAATTGGACTCGAGGTCGCTGTTGTAGACCTCGGATTGGGAGATCTAGACATTATTATAATTATTGTTAGCACTTCCCCCTTGGATGCTCATGATAATTCTCGAATAAGTGGCGGCCGCCTTGTCTCGGGGAGCCCATTCGACAAAGGAACGTTCCTTATTACATTCGCATGCTGGGCTGCATATTATAAATGCACATACAGTGTCATGCACAACCACGTGCATATGTATGAAACTCTTTCAAGTGACGAGGGGGCTCGGCACACTCATGATGTCGGAGAGCTGCGAGTGCAGAACCGGGTAGAGGGCATCGTGGATCGCATCGGCTTCAGCCTGGAGTGGTGAGTGAATTTACATTGTTTTTTTTTCCTAGGTCCCAGGTCTTTAAAGTTCGAAGTATGTGCACATGACTTCGAGTATAAGTGCCAGGATTTCTCAATGCAGCCAATGCACGGAAACATGTATGATCATGGGAGACCGGATGGTCCTAGCCGCCTTTTCAGCGACGGCTTTGGCCATTGCAACCAAACACCGCTGCCCACGGCACACGTGAGCTCAAAAGTCTGCAAATGAACACGCAATCGATAATCGAAGATGCAGCATGCTACAAATCATCACAGCGATCATGATCAGTCCGCTACGCACACTGCGGTGGGAGGGAGGGCGGACCTTGACGGCCGGAATGGCCCATGTAGGCCGCTTGGCGCAGAAGCCCCATGACCGGCACCAAGCATATTATACTATATGTGACCTGCAATCCACACTCAGTGTGCTACGCAATGTGTACAAGTGCACGGTGCACACGATGTCGTGTCATGTCCTAGCTCGGCTGTGATCATGGTACACATGCGTGGAAACCACATGATCAGAGGCTCTTGCCGAGAAGTCGACGTCCTGCGGGCCCCAATCAATCCTCATATTACCCCAGCCCAAACCCCAGAATTACGTATTTGAGGCCTTTGGGCCAAAGGTCCTGAATATACAAGAATGCTGGAAACACCCTCCTCCACAAGCGTTTTCGAAAGTATACGATAATCGGGTCCTCGGACCCTTAGGGAAAATTCAAAATTTTTGAAATTT